TTTTAATACTGTTAGATACGCCACTGCTAGCACCAAAATAATAATGCCTCAGATTAGGGACACTGATGCTACCGAGTTACTAGCTCGGCTTTCTTTTGTAAAATGTTGTTTTTACCTCGTACAGGCTAAGTAAAAACTGGTCATCATGTGTTCGTGCAGTGATGTCTTCCAAGTTGTCACAAATAAACTCTGCATATGCATCAGATAGCTCCATCCCAGGATTCTACAATTGACACAATATATGTGTATTATATACATTTTATTAAATTTAATTTGACTTCATCAATAAAGGTGCCTCCTTAGTCATTTTTATGCTATTAATGTTTGAGATAAAAATTGCTTTCGACTGATTGTCTGACAATGGAAAATATATGAATCATAAATACTGCAAGCATGCTGCAATCTTTATTTACGTTTGTCTCTCTCTCCACCCAGGTGTATAAATTGGTACCGGCATATGCTGCAAAGGTAAAACAGACAGTGGGGGAGAAGTGCACAGCCTTGCACATTCTGGCCCAAAAGCCAAGGAAAGAGAGACAGGCACTCCGGCCTGTGAGCACAGAGCTTCAGGTGTCGACCTTTACCTTAAAATGCATTAAGAAGAAATAAATTTTTTAACAACAGACAGGAACTCAATTCATCCATATCAGCAGATATTTAAAATTTCATGCTAAATAAATGATCAATTGTCATTGGTTAGCTTGCCAGCAGTCTTCGGCAGAACGACAACTAGGACTTGATGTAGTCATATTTAGAACTTGACTACGTTGTTTATTAGTAGAAATTTGAAATTGAAGTAGCAACTGGGACTAGTTGAAGTGTTAGTTCAAAGTTTGATTACAATTCATTTTTAAGAATATGGGCATATGTGGTAGTATTTTATTAATCACAATGCATACAAATCCAGGTCACAGTTGCTAAGTTAAAAAATGTTATAGTTTCAATTTTTTAAGATGACAGACTGTATAGTTATTAGCTTGAGATGAATTAATAGATTTTTTTTTGGGAAAGTAACTTAAAATGAACAAAATAAATCTTACCGTGAAAGATAAAATAGAAGCAAAGAAAGTGCCTTCATCATAACGTGATAACTTGTCTAAGACATTTCGTAGTACCTGCGTAAGTTTCGTAACAAGCTCATTAACCATCTGTTTGTTCTCCCCTTGGATGACAGATTCAATCTGAGTGTGGTACTGATACTAAAAACACACAAAAGAAATTGTTAACTTACAATAAATCTGTCTGGAAAACACTTGATAAACATTATTTTTAATTATTTAAAAAAATAATGAGATTATGAAATATATTAATAATAATAATAATAATGTTACATTTATATAGCACATTAATGCCAGAGATTCTATGAGATTTACATAAACAGAAAAGAGAGAATAAAAAAGTGAAGGAATAAGAACTAGATATACTCCTTTTTACGCAGTAAAAGCATAGCCTCCAAAGTGCAATTTTTCTTGGGTATTAAATGTTAAAATTTCTGAAATCTGTGAATGTATGATAAGGATAAATGAATCGATTTTTTAGGATGGTGAGAAATATGATCCAAAAGCTTGTGATGCCGACGCCCATCTCCCACCCCCTCTTCATCATCATCATCATTTATTTAAGTCAGTTTTCTTCCCTCTTCCAAGGGGTTACTGACTGTCACTCGTTCCATGCAGCTACACCATCTTTCCACTTCTTCCTGTCTCCTCCAAACCAATTTTTGCACTTTCTTTCTTCACCATATCTTTCCACGTCACCTTTGGCTGCCCCCTTACACTTCTACCTTCAACTTCTAGATGCCAGGCTCTCTTTACTGAGATCACCTTCGTCTTTTCTTTATAAATCCTACCCTTTATTCCCAATGAGAACCTTCTGCCACACAGTACCATGGCCAGCTCA